TGAGTGACCTACAAAAGTAGTCTGTCTCATAACCAGCAGAAAACTCCTCACAGGAACTTAAAGCATTGGACCTATTTCTGGAATAATTACTGGAAAACTGCTTCCTTCTTCGTTGCCTTTGATGGTTGTGACCTCGACCTTTAAATCATCTTAACTTTCACACATCTAGCAGCAACCTAAACCACATGAAGCTTAACACTGCTCCATATAACTACTCGAGGTCCCGATTCCTCAAGGTGCCTTAACAATCAAGTGCCAAACTGAACATTGGTATTGGAGTTCTGTGCTGTAATGATTCTCCATGTCCATATTGGTATAAAGAGGATTTCTCTAAAAGCCTCAAATGTAAGTGATGTGTGTACCTGAAGCTTGTCTTAATCACAAAATCATATCAAGATACAGTCGTTTCAGAAAATCCTTTTATTTGCTTTGTTACTTTCCTTCAGAGCAGCTGAACTGGGAAAGTGTTGATAAGAAACAAAAAAAACATTTGATACAAAAACAGTGACTTTAGAAGAGACTTGGCTCATGTCACCCAGCCTGCTGGAACCTCAAACAAGCTTCAGATGAACAACTCATTACTTTTGAAAAAGGGCTGGAATGACCAAGGAGGTTTATAAGCGTTAAAACTGTTGATCAGAACTGACAATTGTGGCATTTGCTCTTCTGACTTCAGAGAATTAGAAGATGCTGAAAACATTTAACAAGAAGCTGGTAATGGATCATGACAGAAAACTAACACGAGGCAACAAGGATAGCCTGAGGGGTTTCCATGTTATTGAACTCTGTATAAAACACACAAATTACAAATTAACGATTTCTTTTTAGATCAAATGTCACTACAATTAAGAAAACTTCTTTAGAAAAAATACATTTCTTCTCTCTGTAGAAAAATTACATTCAACAAAATAATTTATTACAAATTACAGAAACACAGTAAGTACCAAAATGTACATCGTTACAAAAGTGTTCTTCTTGGAGGCAAATATTCAGCTGGTTATCTTGAATGCTAAATGAAATCTCGGTTTCTCCTCATCATCTGAGGCTGCTCCGGCTGACGTCTCTGGTTGACGTGGTGCGGCTCTTGTGATCTCATGACGATGTCGATGGATATTGGGAATGAAAAATGATCCATCATCTTGGCGATCTTCTCATGGGGAACACCGTGCTTGTTCCTCCTGATGAAAAACAGTGACGTGTGATAAGTGTGTGTACGTTTTGAAACTCTGCACTTGTGTATAAATGTGGTGTGATGATTCATACTTCTCCAGCTCATAAGGATCAAACTTCCAGCTGGTGTCAGGTTCACAAAAGTCCACTTGGTATCCTCTCTCCATGGCCTGTTGAAATGTTGGATTTTTTTTTTTTTTTTACAAGGATCATTAAAAGGGGAAGTTGCACATCACAAAAATGATACATAAAAATCCTTTACCTACCAGTTTGACATATGGCTTCATTTCCCAGGCTTGGATGTTTGTGTTATCAATGATAATGGGAGATCGGCCATCATGCATAGCATCTTCAGCTACAAGAGGAAAAACAAAAGTCTATGAAATAAGTGTTGGCAAGAGAATAAAACCCGAATGAAATCATAATCATTGTTCTCAGTCAACCACCAAAAAGGGAAAACTCTTAAAGCTAAAAGAGCAGTTTTTTGGCTGGATGAGATAATTCAATTTAACAGTTCATTACCAAATACAGATCTGATCTTGGGACTGCAACTAATTATTTTACTCTGAATCAATCCAAGGATCATTTACAATCAATAAATAAATGTGTCCACTTGTGTAAAAAAATAAAACGTCTATAAACTTTCTGAGGCCCAAAGAGAATTTTCCAAATTTCATCTTTTTTTTTTTCAAATCAACAATCCAAACCCAGAGATTCTTTATTTATTCTTATAGATGATGAAGAAAAACAGCACGTACCTGCATTCAAGGAGCTGAAAACAGCATTTTTTTTTGTTTTTGCTTGAAAAATTACTTCAAGCTCCTGTGAGGAACTTTTGGTTTGGGTTTGTTTGACGGCCCATGTGGACAAAGCAGTAACTCTTACATCTTTGCTGATCTTGTCCTGAGCATGTGTGAGTAGTGTTTGATGCAGAAAATCATTCATCTTGGGGGGGCCCCATGTCGCCTAGTGCTTCATGTACAGAGGCTGTAGTCCTCGAAGGTTCGACTCTGACCCTCTGCACTTTGCTGTATGTCATTACCCACTCCCACTCTCATCCCAGTTTCTGACTCTTTCCACTGTCCTCTTTCCATGAATGCACAAAGACCAAACAATAACACTGATAATAATCCTACTTTCCTTTACCAGTCAATTGTTCGCTCACTTTGAATCTGCCTTGGAAAATGTCATTAAAGGCTGATTTGTTAGCGTGCTGTATCTTTCCTTAACACCTACACCCCGGCAGCTGTTACAAGCATTAAAAACAACTGTAAAGAAGACTTCCATTTTGACGCCGCTGTTGTTGTTTAAGTTCGTGGGTCACACAGATGAGTCAATATTAATTTCAGTCTGTTTCATAAACACCTCAGGGGAGCCTTAAATCATAAACTGATCATCAGAACAAGTTCAACCTAATTGAGGTTTGATGCAAACGCCGTTGTCATGACACAAACCAGTACATACCTCGTCTTTGGTTCCATTCATGTGCCGCCCCGAGAAGGTCTGCTTCATAGTGATAGCCATCTCTGTGAGCAAAGTAGTCATCCGTGCTCAGTATCAGCCCGCTGGGACCGGTGGAGAGCAGCTCCCTGTGAGCAGGATGGGACACAGATGTTTGGATGATATGACACATTCAGGTCACAAACGCGACTTTCTGGAATCTTTTAAAAGAGACACTGCACTTATTCACATGACTCAAGATCACACAAAGATGTACCTGGCCAAAGTTGACTTCCCAGATCCTGGTAATCCCCTCATCAAGATCAGCACCAGGGAGGAGTGATGTGCATTGGTGCTGTTGGGGTGTTGGCTGTGATGATCCCACTGTTCGCTTTCTGAATCCTTTCTCTGGCGCCAGTCGTAATCTCCTCCAAACTGACACCATTCTTCTTTCGCATCAGTAGACCATTCGAAGCTCACGTTACCCGAGCGAGCGTCGTAGCTACAAATCCGTTCATCCTTGTCAAAATAGTGCGGAGCGTCTCTATAAAAGCCCTGAGCGGTTTGACTGCAAACATTCGGAGGTGGGTAGCTAGGAAACGGCGGAGCACGAGAATCCTCTGGATGCTGGTTGGCGAATCTTGAACCAATCTGGTTTTGATTCACATGTAATGGTGGATTTTGTGGATTTGGGAATGTAGGTCGAAGTGGTGGGGGATGAAATGGCGGTCGATGAAATCTTGGGTTCGGTGGTCCGGTTGGTGTTTGAGGATGATGCCATTGATTCTGAGGAGAAGCACTTCTACCAGAGCTGTGGTCCAGGTCTGTCCTCGGTCTTCTCGGATGGTACGGCTCATTACGATACCAGTGTGGCCAGGACGACTGCGCCGGTCCGCTGCTTCTCTGGTGGCCGTCCGTTTCTGCTCTTTGCTCCTCTCTCGTGTGCCTCTCTTTGCCGTGGGATGTGTTTGGTGGTGCAAAACTTTCAAATGGTTCCTCTGCGTCCTGATCATGGGCGTCATCAGGCGTCTTGATCTGCTCGAGCTCTCTGTAAAACTCGCTCAGCGTGTCTTCGATGTCAGACTTCACAGTGTGTCTTTGTGGAGGAAACGCTGGACCAATGAAGGAGCTGCTGGTGAGCCCGACCTCCTTCAACACTCGCTCCCTCGCACTTCTGCCTTGACTGCTGTCCTCATTTCTCACTGAGTTATCGTCGCCTCTCTCAACAACAGCAGCAACTGCGGAAGGCTTTTCTTTGTCATCAGAGGTCGTGCTGGAGGATTTATTATGAGACATCTGCAAGGAAACAAGACACAATCTCAAAACCTTTGACTTTAAACTATTAAACATGTGTTTATATGAACACCTAATATCAGAACTAGGCACCATCAAATCCACACAAAGACAATATAATATGAATATTGTTAAACTAAAATAATAAATAAAGTGGCTTTTTAAGTTTTTTAGGTCACAGTTGAAGCTAGCTCATGTTAGCTGTCTACATGTGACAGAAGAAGGAAAGCTGTTAAGATCAATTACTTCTTACTCTTTCATCATAATGGAGTAAACATGTCGCATTATCTCTGCTTACCGTAAAAAATCGGGAAACATAAATGATGGATACATCAACACAAACCACCCGGCACACAACTTCCACATTTCCAGTTGTCTTGTGTTTACGGAAGTGACGTTATTCTCCTTCTACTCTTTCTGTTTTTGTTCCTGGGGCCCGCCGGCGCCACCAGCTGGACTGAGACAGAGATGACATCTTCAATGCTGTTCTTCTCCTTTTTTCCTTTCATTTGTGAATTAAATCTTTAACAGTAAGCCTATAACAAGGTGTCAGTCTCTAATAGATTTGATTTGAGATGTACATGATTCCTAAAAAAAAAAAACATCCCAAAACGCCTGTAATGTTTTCAATATGCAGAAAGTTATGAACAATACAGTTGAATAATTAATAGTAATTCAAAAGTAATTATAATTTCCTATACATGGTAAAGAAATTTCTGCCCATAAATTCATTCAGAAAAGGCACAAATTGTTGCATAAAAAAATCACCAGAATGCAGGAAATGAAGTGTTTCATGCTCAAAATTCAGTGATTTGATATTACATAGTTTGATGGAAAATACTTCATTAATTAGAAATTGTGTTACATGTTTTTCATGAAACCATTGAAAAGAAAAGAAACATTTTTAGTCAAAAAAATCTAATATTTCCTAGATAGAATTTTTACATTTCGGCAATTCTATAAAGAAAGAGACCCCGTTTAAGTAGCTATATGAATAACTATCCAACTATTTTATTTTTATTCCCCTAGCTTTTCCTAATCATTATGAAGTGAAGACATGTTTGTTGTGAATCAACTAACAAGTTACAAGTCTGTTGTGAAGTGTTGTCATCTTTTTAATTAGTCCAATTAGACTACAAAACATCAGAATATGTGCCACAGCAGCCATATTTAAATATTTACATCCAGTCATTTGTACAATTATTTACAAAGCTGTGCTCGTCATTATACATTCACGTGTACCTACAGCTAGTCTCAAACAAGCAACGCCTGAGTATCAATCAAAGCCAGTTCCTCGTCATTCACCCATTCCTCCTCTGCTGGTGGATTAACAGGTTTGCGAGCCGGAGTCTGTACAGATTTTAAAGTGCCAGGTGTCCCAGACCTCCGAGGGGGGTTGAATGTTTTGTTTACACACGGTGAGGACACTGAGCCCATAATGGCAAGAGGAGGAGGAGATGGGATACGAGACAGATAGTCCAGAGCTCTCCTCCTCTTCAGACTGCTGGGGTCCTTCTCTGTTGAACTGTTTGTTGCAGGAGGGTTCCTGCCGACAGGAGTAAAGGATCCATGACTTCTGACTTGATGCTGAGCGGTCGCCTGCATTAAAAAAAGGTCAGCTTTTAGTCGTTATCTCAATGAAGTTTGTTTCAGAGAAAATTCATCAAAAGACCCCCAGAGGCCACAGCAGGTCACTCACACTAGTCTTTGTGCTTTGTCTTCTGTCGGCTGTAGAGGACGGGGTTCTGGTTTGCAGGGCTGGAGAGGAGATGGCCTGCTGGCCTTCAGATCTGACTAAATGTGAAAGTCTCTCCTCGGCAGATAGAAAGAAGTCTTCCTGGCCCTGAGAACACATGATGAAAATAATCCTAGTGGTTACAATTAATATGGTCAAGTATTTATTTTTCATCCACACCAAGGAGATATTCAGACGATTAGGAGATTATACTTCAGGTCAATGAACAATAAACATGTTTGTATGTATGAAAAGGTTTTCAGTTTTTGCATCATAGAAATGTTGGTCTAAGCAGATTGGTGTTCTTTTAAGTAGAAACGATGACAAACATGAAAACAAAAAATACTCCTCAGAAGTCAGTATAACAGACCGCACAAGTAAAACCTTGCATTTCATCAGATTTTATTATACAAGTACATTTAAAATATAAGTATTTAACTTCATATTCAAGATTTTTTTCCTATTCAGCACTGACTGTTTCATCAAAATCTGCACCTGAATGTTTGTAGAATTGACAATTCTATTCTTACACATATTTCCTCAGAACAAAAAGAACTTTACATGGGAAAGGAATCAACCTTTGACAAACTACGTACCTTTGAGTGGCTTCTAGGAAAACAGTTTTTAACAACTAAGCCCGATTACAGGAATGGGATTTTAGTACTGTACCTGCATCAGGCTTCTGAGTTGGCTGCAGGATTCCTGAAGATGAACCTCTTTGGGGTTTGTTGAGAAGGAGGTCAGATCTCCGGCGTACACAACAGGAGTGGGATATGTGGACTGACCTCTCAGCTGCAGGTTGCTCAGAGCCAAAAGGACACGTGGTTTGACCAAATCTTCCAGTCCAGAATGAACCAAGCTGCTGAAACATCGCACCTTGACAAAGTCCAGTTTCCCATTGGCCAAATAAAAGGCAGGAGAGGAACCTGTGTTCAAGAACAATCAGTTAGTAAAGAATATATTCATGAAACAAACAGATAGGACAGAAACATCACACACCCTGTCCGTCTACGATACTGATGACATATCCTGCCAGATCCACCTCTCCACACAGTGGCTGGTATTCTTGGTTTCTAAGCTCCATAAAATGGGTGGAGACTCTTGGTTGAAAATGTGTTGATAGCCATTCAGGGGAAGTCTGAGTGAAACAACAAATAAAGAGGATAAAAAATGATATCTATATATAAACTGTGTCTTAATTTCTGTTTTCCAATAAGTTCGTCTCAACGTTACCTGTAGGTCCTGAAACTGTGTTTTCTTTGTGCCCGTCAGCTGAACACTTGTGCTCCCACTAACTTTCTTTCCATCTGAGGTGCTGAGGTTGTAGACTTTGTATCGGCAGCCTTCCTTCAGTGAAGACTGAAGATCAGAGGTAGGACGCCAAAGATTCAACTGATGCACTATAATTTAAAGAAAATAACAAAAAGTCAGACAGGAAGATTTTAAATGAGTATTTCTTACACAGTAGTGTTAAACTGTTAAATCTACTGCAGTACATCCACAATAATAATAATAATAATAATAGTAATGATAAAAGAATACACTCACTACTGCCAGGTTGTCCCATGGAGTCAGCAAAGCAGAGCCTCCAGACAGGAGTAACATCTCTCTTGGGACAGCTACCTTCACTGTTCTCTGCACTTTCTAAAGCTCGCCTGTAGCGATCCTGTAGTTCTGTCTGCTTCTTCTCCATCTGAGAACGCCTGTAGGCACGTAGAGTCTCCAACTGCTGTTCACTCAAATGAGCCTGGATCATAACAATTAAATAGGTCTGCAATTAAAACTAAACTTATGAGAGGAATTACATCACCAATCAGTTTTTAAATCACCTCCAGATAAGCGGGGTCTTCCTCCACTGCTTCATAGAGCTCCTCTCCATCCTGAAGACTCGCAACATCCTGACGACTGATTGTCCGTCGTCTACGTTGAGCTTTGTTTTTACCTGAAGATGAACATTTGTTAACACATATTCAATTTCAACCTGCTTTTAATATACTATAAACACATGTCCTACCTTTCTCCTCCTTTTCAAATTCAGCTTGAATCTTTGCAAACAGGATCTCCATGGCTTTTTGTTTGTTGCTGTTGTATCGTCTCGCCTCCTTCTCTTCTGCACGGACAGAACGAAACACGACGCCCCCCTCCGATTTCCTCTCCATCCACTGCAACATGTTACAAGCACACAGTCAGACATGAATAAGAAAAAAAGAAAACGAATAAGTAACAAAATGAGACTATACGTGCCTGTATGGGGTAGCTTCTCAGTATGATGATGTCCGCACACCCTACAGGTCCTCCATTGCTGTACAGAGTAGAAACAGGAAGCAGGAACGGCCGAGGATCTCTGTGAAACCCAAGCTTTGTGTCCCATCGAGTGGGCCTGCTGCTATTGGCACAAATCTAAAGATAAAAAACCAACAAGCAAACTTGTTATCTAGATACCTTAGTAACAAATAGGCAGAAACTCATGGGCTCACTCTTACCTTTAACATGAGAGATTCAGGAGCCTCCAGAGGGGAGCAGGCGTCCTGTGATCCCACCAGCTGAGCCCCATGGATGATCAACTTCCCCCCCACATACAGCCGACCTTTCTGGAGCATGGCAGTCAAAGGTTCATCCAACTGTGCTTTAATGGAGTACCATCCATCCGTCAGCCAAACAACCGCAGAAGTGTTTTCAGGCTTGGCATCACCACCTTGTGGAGTCTTTGTGTCACTGGGCCTTTTTGGGGCGTGACCTCTGGAGATGACCCCGCATACACAGAGGACGAGGGTTTTGACTGCTGTGTCGTCCTTTTCCATGATCTTTCTCAGAGCGGGCCTGCGGCTGTGGTCCACCTCGACATCATATCTAAAGAAGTGTAAAATAAATACATGATTCAGTAACTAGAATAGCATATATCTTAATTATCCACCAGGGGTCATTTTATGATTAAACATGTTGTTCCAAATGTAAGACAAACTTGTTTTGACAAAGAAAACTATTTAATTGAAAATAAAGTTGTTTTTTAAAACACCTGTTAATTAGAACCACTTAATATTTTGGATTAAATTACGTTTAATTTAGTGGTTTGCAAATCTGCTTCTACTTGGTGAGTCGATTGGGTGCAAATGTTTCAATGTTATCTGAGACTCTAACCAAAGGTAATTGTCTGTCACTGTGATAATAAAGCTTTTTCTTTTTTTTGAATCTTGAAAAATAAAATGCAGTAATGTTAAGCAAATTGGCAGTAGAGTACTGCACCCATGAGAGCTCATGCTAACATTTCCAAACATGTTGAAACAATATTGGTGAATGTTTTGTTAGGTGCACGATGACATTAACAACTAGAGTAACCCATATAATGAGATCTATCTACATTTCTGTGTACCTGTACTTCAGTTGGAGGAGAACCTGCTCTGGGGTGAGACAGAGGCTGCCCATTGTTTCAGGGAATGACCTCTCCATGGAGGCCTGCTTCCACACAATCCATCTGTAGTGGTTGTACACCCACTCCTCACTGATCAGTTTTGGATCCACACCAGGGCTGTCACACAATGCTCTACGGACAATACAGCAAAAAAAAAAAACATACTTAGTGAATCAGCCTGCATTTTCCCAGAGCAAAGAATACAGGGTTCCTAAAACATGAAAAATTAAGCAGATCTGAATACCTGTAAAACTCTTGTTTCCCTGCAGTCCCATCATTGCTGGGGATCAGCCATCCTCCATCAGCAAGCTGTACACCACCTCCATCTGTAAATGCTTCCTGTCTGATGAACTGCTGTAACCTGAAGCGAAAAGACTCTGCAGCCTCACTGGTGATCTCACACACGTGCTGATGAACTCCAGATTCATACAGCTGAAAAACAAAAACATGAATAAAATCAAATCCTGTTCATATTAAAGTAGTTCAGTTTTTAACTGATTACATCATCATCAACAGCAACAACAGTCCTGTCCTTGCCTGCTTTGTTGTGTATCTTGCCGGAGGTTTTCCATTCACTGCAGCTTTTAATTTTAACCTCGGCACTCCCGAGGTTTTGGTTAGAAACAAACTGCCCGGCAAAGGTCGAATGGTCTGACGCTTCTTCTTCCTGATCCTCATGTCTTGCATATCTCGTGCAAGCTCTATGTTGTGGAGATTCTGTAACATTTCTGCAGAACGTAAACATGTAAGTATTTTGACCTTTGTTGTGCATGCATGTTCAGTGTATGATACTGAGTTAATCAATAAGGTTACTTCACCTCTGCTTCCAGACAACATGCCCTCTGCATGTGATTTATGTGCAGCAGAGTCCTCCAATCCACAACCAGCAGCTAGTTTTGGTTTATTTATCTGATTGTTACATGTAGTTTCCTCCAAGGCCATCATCTGATCGTCTTCTATGCTTTCATGACTAGTTATATCCGCAGTGCTTTGTGTTTTTTTAGTGGGTGGCACGTAAGTGTTGCTGTTGGCGGGCATTGCAGAGACATTGCAGTGTTTATCCTCCCCCTCCTCCTGAGGTTTAGAGGAGCTCTCTTGGACAATCATTCTTTGTTTTTTGAAAGGAGGAACAAACGCAGGAGGTGTTCTTATGTTGTCCTTGAGCGCTGCATTCCTGCAGCTCTGCGTCTTTGCATTCTTGAGGAATGGAGGAACAAATGCATGCAAAGGCATCCTGGATTGTGCTGACCTGCTGCCTCCTGGGGTTGAGTGTTGTGTTGGTGCTGTCTTTTGCACTTTGCTTTCCACATACTGGTTTCCACTCCTGCAAGATAAAATATATATATTCTCAAAAAGAGCTGATACCTTCTGTAAATATCAAACATCATCAACAGTTCACAGGAAACGTACCTGTGTGGTCTTGTGATATTTGGATGAAGAGAGACGCTGTACTTAAAAACTCTCCTGTCTTTCATTAAAACTTCAAGAAAAGGAAATCAAGGTCATCAGTTACTTCATTTATTGGGGGGAAAAAAGTTATTATTCGGAATATTTTCAGCAGTGTTAGTGATTTACCGTTTGGAGTGCTTATTTCCGGATTCAGTGTTGAATCAACAGTTCTGTCAAATTCCTCCAGTAATCGTCTCTTCGGTGGAGGCTGACCTGGAATATGAAAAACAACCATCTGTGAGTAGTAGTTGTAGTTGTAACAGGTAGTCATAGCTGGTGGAAAAGTAATTTCAGAGCCTTTTCTTTGTCATAAACGTTGTTATGTTGCAACAACTGTGTTAAGTAATTATAGTCTACAATAATTAGGATTCATTAAATCTGAAAACATTGACATCAATTCAACAATAACATTTTTTGTACTTCCACAAACACTTACCCGTCATATGTGGGTCGTCTACAGGACGTTTCCCTTTTCCTCTGTGTTCCCCTACTGATCTGTTAGTGGGTTTTTGATCCTTCTGAAGTTCCACATTTTCTGAAGTCACTGACAGACTTTGGCCAGCCGCACTTTCATCCTCTAACAAAGCTTTGGTGCAGTCCAGAGCTTCCTGTGCAAGAAGCTTCTGCTGGGTATCAGTGCAGCCACTGAGGTTTAGTGACTGTACGAGTTGAACTGAAGGCTCGTCAGTCCTTTGGACCTTAGATCCTTCACTGCTGGTAGTCTGGTTCATTTCGTGTCTAACACACTGGACATTTCCTCTCTAGGGCTGTCAAGGTGGTTGCTCATCTTTTTCATCATTTTTCCTTCTTTGGACTTAAGAGGATCCACAGGGGTCTTGTTTTTCATAATAATGCAACCTGGTGAACTTACATTTTGAAGGGTTTCATTTTTATGGTCAGTCTGTTGCAAAGTAGGTAAAAATGTAACTGCCTGAAGGTCACTTTCCTCAGTAGAAACGTCCTTGTACCGGGCGGTGGTGGATCAGAATGTGAAGTTCTCTTCACATCTTTAGCTTTTGATAGATCCCACTTAGAGGTGTCATGTTGGTTTGTTGACTTTGAATCATGAGACTCACCATCTGCAAATTCTTTCAAGAGGGTTTTTGCTTTCAGCAAATTGTTCTGTGAAACGTGTACTTTAGCTCCCCCTGCAGTCGTGAAACCATGATGCATTTTCTCTATGCGTTGAGCATTTTCTTGCTTCTTGTTGCTGCTCTGTGAATCTGAAACAGCTGGGTTCTCTGCACTAAAACCGATGTCACTGAAGAGAGCTTTTGCCTTCTGTAGGGCCCCAGATGAAAATGCCACTTGTTTACCACTGGCTGATAAAAACTGTCCACTCCTGGGTGCTTGACCAGGATCCAGCGTCTTTGAATGTGTTGGACTCAAACTGACTTCATTCTTAACTTCATCACATTCACTGAGCAGAGTTTTTGCTTTCTTTAGGGCTGCAGATGAAATAGAAACTCCTTTGCCACTGGCTGTCTGAAATCCATCATTAAGTGGTGGCGTATTGCCTTCTTTTTGATCCATTTGGTTGTTTGCTTCCTGAAGTGTAGCACTTTCACTTAACAGAGACCTTGCTTTTGTCATTGCATCTTCAGACACGGATACTTTCTTCCCACTTGCTGTGCAGAATCCGCCACCAGTGCTCAGTTTACTAATGGCAGAAGAACCAATGTTGTTTGATGTTGTGCAAAATGAGGAAGAGAGTGGCTTTGTCATCAAAGCTGGGTTTCTGTGTAAAGAAGCTCCACTTGCAGAATCCAGTGTGCCTTTGTGGAGCTCTACACCATCCAAAGGACTCTTCTTTTCACAGGTTGTAGCTGCTCTTTCATTCACATTTTCAAACTCAGTGCGTCCATATCCAGATTCTTCAGAAAAGTTTTTCACCCTTTGACTTTCTTTAAATGTTGAAAGGCTTTTCTGCTCGTTTCCACTCCCTCTCAAAGTTGGTGTGCTTTTATCTTGAATTGAAATGACATCATTACTGTCATCATGGTCCTTGAAAAACTCATCTGCGTCTTGCATTGCCGTTGCTGAAATAAGACTATCATCAAAATCTTTCATAAGGTTCTTGGCGTTCAACAGATTTTTCTGCGACACATGAACTCTTGACCCCCTGCAGTTGAGAAACCCAAATGTATTTTCTCAGTATTTGGGATTTTGTTTTGTTCCTTGTCATTTTTCCTCTTTGTGTCTGAAACAGATGGAATCTCCTCATCGAAACCGATATCACTGAAGAGAGCTTTAGCCTTTTTCAGGGCCTCTGCTGAAAGAGCCACAGATTTTCCACTGGCGGCAAGGAATCCACTACTCCTGGGTGCTGGCTTTGGAGCTTGCATCTTAGGATGTGTTGTTTTGACACCGATGTTAGACGATGGGGATTCGATTTCATCACATTCATTGAACAAGGATTTTGCTTTCTTGAGAGCAGCAGCTGATATGGGGACACCTTTGCCACTGGCTGTCTGAAATCCACCATCACTGGGTGTTGTAACCTGAATTTCACTGTTGAGAAATCCTGCTGTTAAATGATCTCTGTTTTCTTTCAGTTGTTTGTCTGTTTCTTCAGGTGTATGATTTTCAGTCAAAAGGCGCTCTGCTTTTTTCATAGCCTCAGCTGACACAAATACTTTCTTCCCTCTCGCTGAGCAGAATCCACCACCACTACTGCTCAATTTATCAATGTCAGAGGAGCCAATATTCTTTGGTGCTGTGCATGAGAGAGATGAAAGAGTCTTTGCAGACGAGGACAGGTTTCCATGGAGAGCTGCTGTATTTTCTAAAGCCCTTGTATCCTTAGGAGCTAAACTTTGAACACTTCTAGACAAGGATTCAATGTTCTTTTTAGCTTTTACAGACATGCCAGTTTTACTGTCAGTAATGTCACAGTCTTTGAAAAAAACATCTGCCTCTTGCATTGCTTTGGTTGAAATAGCAATTCCTTTCCCACTGGCCATCTGGAACCCACCTCCACATGAGTTTCTGTCCATTTTGCTGTTTTTGATACTTTTTGTTGCTTCTTCATCTCGGATGTCTGTGACCTGTTCATCCAAACACACAGACTTCTTCACGTTGGAAAAACACTCCTCAATCCTCTTCACAGGTTCATTTCCACAAGATGTGAGCTTTGCATTATTCTCTTTACAATTCAAAATATCACCAGTGTGATTATCCACACTCTGCTGATGCTGCTCTTGGGCTTCAGTAGCTCTACTTAGATTGTCAGGTGAATTTTGACTCGTCACAAGACTCCCCTCTAAATCTGCAAACAAAGCTCGAGCTTTGCTCAGACACTTTTTGGAAACTCTCAAAACATTTCCTCCTGCAGTCTTAAATCCCACACCGAGCTTCAGGGGAGATTTGTTCTCTGGCATGCTTGTTTCAGTGTGACCTACTCTGTCAAGGGTTTTGAGTTTAGCTGACATAATAATTCTGCTGCCATCAGATAAAGACAAATCTTCAGCAGAAGACTTTTCTTCTGTCATTGGCCTCGGCAATAACAGACCAGTGGATTTCCTAGAAATGTTGGATTTTTCACAATTTCTTTCACCAACTGAAACTGAGGCCCTTTTGTCATGCATCACAGTTACTGCCAGGTGCTTTTCAGCATCCAAACTAAAACTGTCATCAAAATCTATACCTGCAAGAAAATCAGGGTCAAGTTCTTTGTCAACTTTTAAAGGAGAGATGTTTTTATCTTCACTATGTTGTTTCAGCTTTGCAGTTTTGAACTGCGTAAATTCAAACTGGCTGTCTGCTTCCTCTAAGAGAGTGCACAGCTCAGTCACATCGGCTCTCTGGGAAGCCGTTAACTGAAAACCTTCATCTGCTAATTTATCATTTGAAGGTGGGGGCTGGTCTGATTTTGAGTTTTTTCCCACTGAACTGTGACTCATAAGAATTTTATCCTTAGAGTCATGTGCCCAGTTTGTTGTCTGATCACTAGAAGTCTTGTCACTTTGAGTTTCTTCGAACAGTCGCTTGGCTCTCTGCAGGTTGGCTGAAGAAATCTGTATTCCTTTATTTGAAGCAGTTTTAAATCCTGATGCATGAACAGATGGAAGAGAAAGCTCTGGTTTGGCTGGCAGACTGCCACGAGCATGACCATTGAGTGGAAAGCTAACAATAATACTGACAGAGCTTTTTGCCCTGCTGGATGGTTGTGTTGCTGTGCTTTCTGTGCTCTGCTCACTCTCTCTGCTAGGACCCAGTGTCTCTCCTTTCTTGGTTTCACAGGATAACTTGGCCTCATTTTCAGCTTCTTGTAAAACGTGATCCAAATGTACTTTTCCATGTTCTTTGTTTGAAGATAGAGGAGGAGAAGTCCTGTGGACATCAGTTTTAAAGCCAGACCACTGTTGACTGTTTTTCTCTGAGCTGGGAAGAGCAAATGACACTGCAGTCATATGGGTGATATCTGTTACAGCAGACTGAAATCCACTGTCACTTATTGTGACCTCACTGATATGGCTGTTTTGGATCGCTGTAGAAATATATTTTCTGTTAGTGATGCCATCACAGTCATGATGGAGGTTTGTTTGCCTTGCTTTCTGCTTAGCTTGTTTCATAGCAGACAGGCAGGCTGATGGAGAGAAGACACTTCCAGGGATATCCCAAGCTTCTTTACTCAGTTGATCAGGGTCTGACATTTCTCTGACGTCTTGGGCAAAATCTCTGCAAAGCTGTGACATGTCGAGATCCTGGACTTCAGTTTGTACAGACAGGGGTAGGTTTTCTTTAGCATGACTTTGCTTCTCATTTCTCTCCATACTGCAGCGTTCTGCGTCACCTGGGGCTTTTCCCCACTGCTTCATATTCAATTCTTGTTCTGAAAAAAGAAAAAGAACACATTTAGTCATTGAAGAATAATGACCTTTTAAACCCCCAACCCCAATACAAAATGTGTTAAAGCATTTCTACCCTGTATGACAAATGTTTTACCAGAATCAGGAATCCTTTGTGATGACACCATGCTGTGAGATGTTGTTTCATCGCCTTCATCTGGTTGGTTTGTCTCTAGTTGTTTTTCAGGTTGTTTGGAAGTTTTAACAGAGTAAATAAATTTCTCTTTTTCTTGGTAAAACCAGAGTCTGTAATATTTAACGGTCTCCTGGCTTGTGTGGCAGAATCAGAGTCTTTTTGCAGATGTTTTGTTGAAATACCACTTTTGACTTGCGTAGCTGTGCTTTTTTGAAAGCAGGAAGCAGTGCATGCTGGGATTTCAGAAAACTCAAAGGAGACCACTGTGTGATTCCATTATTCACAGTTTTCACTGGTGGGGAAGAGGGAGGTCTTTCAGATTCCTGATCAGCGGTTCCCTGATGTCTGGATGCAGCGTTGTTTGTTGCTGAGATGTCCGTGGAGCAGCAGGCCGGCTCTTCAGTTGGAATGATTTGTTTTCTTTTGATTCTGTCAGTTTTTACTTTTCTCAGTGCGGAACTACTGTTGGTGAAAAATATAGAGAGGACATTTTCAGCCCCCTCCAGGACATTTGCAACAGTGCTGCGAATTTCTCCATCCTCAATAGCATCTGGTAGCTTCTGTCTCCAAACACCGTCACTCTGATTTATGGGACTCGAGGGGAAGTCATGGGACTCTGGTTTCTGCACAGCCTCGGGCGAACAAACACCTGCTGACAATACATGACCAATCATCAGAATTGTGCACAATGCAACCAAAAGCCTGGGCAACACACAATAAGGAAATCTGCAACGTGTAGTTTCATTATTCAAATTCAGAGCTTCGGCTCTATCCTGGACTTAACTAAAATTTTTTAAAAACTCAAACATGGCACCTTGGTGAACAGAAGGCATGTCAGTGTTTTCCGGTGAAATCCCTCCCAGCTTGGACACATTCGAAAGAGAAGGAAAAAGTTTCCGCACAAGCTGAGGAAAATCAGATTTAAAAAAAAAAAAGTTTCAGAAGTAGAAAAAGTGTAAGTGATCAAGTTTTGATCCTTTACAAGAGACAACTTCAAAAGCCAATTTCTGATTGTCTTCATTTAACAAAGTCACTTTATGAGAGAATAAATAGAAAGTGTACAACTTGTAACATTTGACTTGTTTCCAGCTACATATGGTATTTAGTGTGTCTGTTGGACATGACAGAGTACTCACAACAAAATCGCTGCCAGCAGAGATTGTCTCTTGGCAGGGACTCTCATCTGGCTTAGCTATAACAGAGAAGGAGGACCAAATCTTTAACAAATCACACATATTGGCATGCGGAGATTTACAAAAAAATCTATTGTCATTTGCTCACTTAAGATCAGGGTGGATTGTAATCCTGTGGGGGTATTCAGAGAACTGGTCCATGACATATCAGGATGAATCTGTGCGCCAAGACTCTCAGATATCTGCTTTGCATAGCTCCTCTGCATTATATAAAACAAAACAAAAAATTGAAACTTTATTGTTCGTCAAAACTTATAGAAAAAGTCACATGTTAACATTTTTACATTTTATACACTTACAGGGGATTTCTGTGGGGTGTGGAGCAGATCTGTAGAGAGGATAAGGCAAACAAACAAATCAAAGGGATAATTAAATCCTCTTTCAAATGTGATTTAAAACAGATTAAATAAAGATAAATCTGTGGTTTACCAAAACTGTCCAGACTTTGAGGATGGGTACTGTCATACTTTGCACCTGGCACCCTAAAACAAGAAGACAGACATCAAAACAGGCCAGTCAACAAAACATTTGTCTTAAAAAGCTCCAGAGAAACTTTCTTAAAAAAAAGAAGTGCTCTAGAAACATTAACAGAGATTACCACTGTTCCTCCTGGTGATATTCAAATATGATCAATGCCAGATTCATTAAGAATGAAATAAACAAACTGGCATTCTTCACATTTCAAACAGCACAGACATGAAGAGTTACACTTTTTGCACTCACACGTCTTTAGATGTCTGGAACAAACATGGACTTTGTGTTGCTGTCAGCTTGTGTATTTCTGGGGAACATCAAAGGGAAACATATTTTAGATGCAATGTAAAGAAAGCTGATCATTACTGCGACATAAAGCACTTGATTTTAAACGCACTTGCATTCATATATCATTTTAGCATAGTTTAAATTATATGTTGCGTCACATGCTACAAACTTCACCTTGTTCAGCAGTGAACGACGGCTCATTCTCTGTTACAGGTGACACAACTCGTCTGTTTCTGAAAACCTTTGGGGTAGAAAACAGCTGACTATCTACTGCGGTTTTGTCAAAAGGTGTTTTAAAATGTCCCTCTTGGTTAGCACAAAGTTCATCTTGATCAGACACATGGTCCTCATTAGTGGACGTCTGAGCTGTCAGAGTTTCAAACCAGTCAGGGTCCAGCGGTCCCAGCTCTGCAAAACACAAATGTTGTCATTTGTCAATAATAACTGCACATCATTTTATATCACAGCATGCTTTTTCTTTTGTGGTGGCACAATACATTTCCTTTAATTATCATGCATCTAGATTTAAATAAATGACATGAATGATCTTTTGCAGCTTTTAAACAATCAATATCATAACAACAAAGAAAAAGCCCAAAGTCAAACTTGGTGTCTTACCTTTCCAAATCTCATCCCTGAATGTGTCGTACATGTTTTTTGAGGGTAAATCCATGGCAGTTCACTTGGAGGAGCCCTATAGTTTGTAACGTGGCACACCTGGGAAGTCAACGATTTCATCACATGCGATCAGATGTTGGGAAATTATGATATTCCTTGTTTAGCTAGCTGCTAATGACTACTTTAAAGTTGACTTTAAAGTCAGAAAACTTGACAACATAAAATGTCAGGACAGATAATCTTGAATGTTATCTAAACCAACATCTCATGCAGCGTTATCGTAAATGTTAAGGTGGCTGACAGTGTCTGCAAAGTACATAAACTCAGGTTTAAATTACTCAGACACAAACCGAAGCCAGAAGTACGTGACGCTTTAAAGTCACTCAAACTCACCATGACGGCGGACGAGAGCGTCGACTCTCATGTCGCGACTGAATATTGACAACAAACCTACATAACCACCAAATTAAATAACATTAAGGCGTACTGCTACTTCACCTACGAGCTAATTTTACCCCTGCCATGAAAACAAACCTGGCGCGCCAAATACCGGAAGATCGCCTTCAAAATAAGGGTCGCTTCCGTTCAGTCTATGGTTTATTTATATAATATTTACAGTCTATGGTTATTTATATAATATTTACAGTCTATTGTTATTTATATAATATTTACAGTCTATGGTTATTTATATAATATTTACAGTCTATGGTTTATTTATATAATATTTACAGTCTATTGTTATTTATATAATATTTACAGTCTATGGTTATTTATATAATATTTACAGTCTATTGTTTATTTATATAATATTTACAGTCTATTGTTATTTATATAATATTTACAGTCTATTGTTTATTTATATAATATTTACAGTCTATGGTTTATACCAGGGGTGTCCAAAGTGCGGCCCGAGGGCCATTTGCAGCCCTTGAGGGGATTTTTTGCAGCCCGTGACTTCAAATGAAGAATCAGAAGATTTTGGCCTGAGGCCTTGATTTAGATTGGCACATTATCTTATTTTTATTTTTCATGTTAGCAAGGGCTGAACAATATTCCTAAAATAGAAAATGTTCAGTAACATTTATGTTGTTGTTTTTTTTTTTTAAATCTCCAGCTTTTACTATTTTCCAATTTTTTTTAAATGTATGCAAAGTTTTTGCAAACAAGCGTACTGTTGTTTAACCATTTAATGACCTGAGCTAAATGCAGAAAGCTTATCCAAAAAAATGAACCACGTTACAGGTTTGATTCTGAGAGAAAAAAACAATAAAGTAGAACAAAGAAATCAAAATATTTGATTTCCTTTTATTAATGGTTTTTTTAGCAACCCTTTTGATTCTGGTCTACAAAGCCTTACTATTTTTTCAACTATATATTTAAAAAAACAAAACCTGTGGCGATTCTAACACGACAATTTTGGCCCGCAAGAAAAAAAGTTTGGACACCACTGGTTTATACAGTCTATGGTTTATTTCGGTACAGTTTTCCTATTACATCTCATTTTTTTTGTAGTGACTGTGATTAAATTTGAACTATTTATTCAATAATGATAAATTATTTTCTTGAACCGCAAAAATGTATTAATTTCATAATCGATCTACGTTACGTTTAGAACAGTTTTTCCCCCTCCTTTTTAGTCCTGCCTATATTCTTTAATAAAATGTTGCTTGATTGTGCTACATATGCTAGACTTTCATACCTTATCCTATTTTTAAATAAATATATATATTCTTAACTTGAGTACACATTTTCTTCTTACAGTATGTCTTAAGTTTAACTTCCACTTGTGTGATTTTTGCTCCTTTTTATAGCTTTTTTGGATGGAGCCAGAGATGTAAGAATTTCACAACCTGAAACTGCTGTTGTTTTGTAATTCCCAAAATTAAACATTTCAGGCAGTCCTAAGGCTGAGCAGTATGTCCTCCCTCATGGAGAGCTGGAGCCAGGCGCATAAATATGTGATTTGAGTGGCCACCCAGGGCAAAATTATCAAGTAAGCCAAAAAAAAGAAGAAAAAAAGACAAGAATATCATAAATAAATCTGTAGTTAACAAATGTGAGTTTTATTTTTCTTGTTACATGAGTGTGCAGAACATTAAAGTACAATACATTGCAAAGGCAGTCGTATTTACAAGGCGAGAGGCTACACCAAAAACTCTCTTTTAATCTACACGCAACTCATATTATATTTTCATAAAAATACAATCTTATGACTCTGAGCAAAGCCCCCAATGTACTATGTACAACAATTCAGTTAAAATAGCTTCTTTTTTTGTTCATACACATTACTATTACACTTTATAGTACATAGTATTTGCAAGCTTGGCAGGCTTAACAGGTGAAACAAAAGATTTGTTTCCTATAAAACTATTCAGATAAAAGCTTGTTTTACCTTGCAAATAACATAAATAATTTACCTAGTTTCTAAAAGCTGCACAGTTAAAGGTACAGTAAGTTGTTTTAAGTAACAGATAATCTACACAGCAGAATGGTGTGTATGGGAGACAGTAGTCTTGCAGTATGTTGAAGTAGTTAATGGAAATCAGAATCCATAATTCCATCTGTGATGGTCGTCAGGTTAATATTACACACTCAAGCACTCACACAACACACCCACACCCACACCCACACCCACACACAAACACACCCACACAAACACAGACCCACTACTCTAATGAAGCCTCCCTTTATCCGGACGGACAATGCACATGTTTTCCAATGACGTGATACTCAAATACATTCTTTCAGGATACAGTAAAACTTTTCCACTTCAGTGAAGGATTGCACATTTTCCCTTGACAATCAAAACAACATAACTGAAAGAGAACCAATTTGCTTTGGTTTGTCATTTGTTAAAAGTGAAAGTTGTTGACCTCAGTAGCATGTTGTTTGCTTTGTGACATTTTCTATTATTAGTGCAATAAAAGGCTCTGTTACTTTGCAACAGAAAAGTCTCTCATCTTTCTTAAAAAAACAACAGTATTGCAGTAAATCTTATGATCTGACTTTATGACATACTGATGTGCTCTGAGGAAGAAGCACGGACTAAGGTTGGGTTATTTCTGTGAGAGAGCATGGTGCTCGTTAACCAATGAGATGGTAGCAGCTGAACAGACCGGACCAGAAGGCATGGTATAGGACAGCTGTGCAGGAATGGATCTCACAGTAACATGCAGATATCAGAGAGTTGAGCCTGAAACACTGGAGTCAGGGAGGAAAGCTGTGATGGCTCGGTAGCCTTGAGCTCGCCGGATCATGTCCCGGATCTCTCCATTAAGTTCCATCAGCTTGATGGAGATTTCTGTCAGGTCCTGTTTTGAGCCCACCAGAGCAAAAGTTCCTGTCTGACCCAAGGTCTGATGTCTGAAGTAGATGTTCAGTAAGGTCTGGACCTCATCCTCAGAGGGGCTGCCGAAGATGTCATTAGGCCACATTGTTCTGCAATCAAAAGAGAATTACATTTGTTTGACTGAGGTGTTTTTTGACAATTACTTCCTCATATAGAGAAAATGTAGATGTTTTTCTTCTCTTACCTGCACTCGCGAATGTTGCGGATAGCTGTCTGAAACTCATTGTTCCTCAGACTCTCCAAGATGGCCTGCACAGCAGTCTCAGAGGTGCTGAAGGTGGGCTCAGAGCAGCTCTCACAGGCAGCAATCTCCTCATCTGTCACTGAGGCTGCTGCTCCCCTCAGGCTGCTCTTCAACTCATTCAGCTCTCTGGACATGTTTGTCAGCTTAGGGATGATATTTTTAGACAGGTGCATTATTAGATGGTGGGTGGCGTGGTTACAAAAATGAAAGGGCAAGAAAAAAAAAGGCATGATGAACCTACCTCAGGTATAGAGCTTATTGCATGGACCTGTTCAATCAGCTTACAGTAGGACTGAAAAAGCAGCAACAGCTGAAAGTGGAGTTTGTAGAGTCTTTGACAGAGCTCCAGTTGCTGAAATTAAGAGAAACGTGCTGGTTAGCAAAAGGCAGTTTGATTGTGTCTGCTCTCTCTTTGTGTTGTATGACTTTATGCTTTGTCGGGTAATTTCAGGGAAATGCACTCTGGTTATAAAATCTGAAGAACGACTGAAGAACTACTTGTAATGAAGCTCTGCAAATGGGATTACAGTAAACCAAGGATTTGCTGACATTAAATGAACATTTTAAAGAACAAATAGGAACAAGCCTTTCCAACTTACAGCCAGAGATTCCATTTGCTACAAAGCAAGCATGTTAATGGACAGAAAAGAAGTAAGGGAAACAGAATCAAAAGAAGGGCATGCAATTCTTCTTTTTTCAAAAGGAAGGAACAGCACAGGTTATTTACAAACATGCACACAGGAAGAAAATAGTAGGTAGACGTATAAGAACTGAAAGGAGTTGCCTTTAATTAAAGGTTCTCTGTGGAGTTAAAAAAAAATCTGCAACAGGCCGACAAACATTTTTTTTGAATGTACCGTATTGGTCCCTGTTTTGCACATGCAAATAGGCATACATGGCTGAGGCAATACACAGTTCAACCAATTGTGTCACTTTATTTCCCCGAACAAAAGGTAGTGCTAACACGGCAAGATATAGTGCAATGTGCAAAAAATATGTTTGATTTAAACTATACTGAATTTCAAATAATTGAAATGAGAGAGTAAATGCAGACCTGTTTTCTTACATTAAAAGTTCTGATTATTTTAATGTAATCAGAACTTTTTTTGTGTGGTTGCAAAAAAAATAAATCCACAGGATCCCTTTAATTAAAAATCTTAGAAAAAGCAAAGCAAATTATTTTTAATTTGCATGAATGCACTCACTTTGGTAAAAGTCTTTGAGATATTAAGAACCTAATCTGAACAGCAAAACTGTCCATTTTGCTGCCCCCCCCCCCTTATAAAATGAGCACAGCAGTTAACAGCCTGATAAAATGCAACTGAAGAGAACTTGCTCCCATGCTCAGCAGAGCTTAAAATAATCACATAACACGCTAAAATAAGATAATTATCGTGACGTGCGGCAACTCCAAGTTGTCAAAACTTGACATTTATATAGTGTAAGAAAATAAGAGGAAACACTCACAGAGCTACAGTATCACACAGTAATCGTAATGCAGAGAATACAGTAGGAAAGGTCAGTTCAAGTGGAGTCTTTTTCCTTCATTCATTCTTTAACTCCTTTTGTAACACTTTAAATATTAACATGTCTTTTCCTTATAACTAAACACCTTCTTGTGTATTTGCAAGGTCACATGATGCTCAAGCTGAAGTAAACAAATACCAATCTAGTATTTTTACATTAAAGCAAATTCATAGTTAAAAAGTTAGAGAATTCATTATTAAAAGTTGAATAAAAAGTTGTACCTTGTCCTCAAGCTCTGCTGGCTGACATGTTATCACTTTGCCCTCAGCACTCCTGGGGAAGGTTGCCTTACAGTTGCTTAACC